TCTGCAAAATATTTCACAGAATATGGAAGCAATCTCATCTCATAATAGGACATGTGTGATTGACCTGTTGAACTGATTTGCTCTATTGGTAGGTATTGATCATCTCTAATGAGATAGGCAAGGGCGTGTGTTTCACTCAGAGGAACTCTCTGCGCTACCAGATCCTTGGTAAATTACGGTCATTGACATGGGACTACACTGACGCAAGGACAGACAAACATTGGAACTAAATTGAGAATTCAGAGAAGACCTGTGCCAATTTGGGCATGGACGCTAACTACATCAACCTCACACCACACAGGGAATCATTTCCAAGGAAATTAAAGATATAAATGTAAGAGGCAATACTCTAAAGGATTTTAGAGGGGGGAAAAAAAGGGAAAATGTCTTTTTCATGTCAAGGTTTAGAGAGAGTTGCGAAAGTACTGACAGTACTAACCATTGCAAAGATGGAATTATTTATCTCCATTGCATTTAGGGACTTGTGTTCAGCAAAAAGACACAATGAAAACATGGCCGAGCTGGATCCTGCCACATGGATGGTTCTCCTCCGGCAGCCTCAAGAAGAGCCACACAGGTTTCCAGTGAGCTCATGGAAATGCCTACTGTCACACACCACTTGGCATGAGTGGGCTCTGAGTCCTGTCACCCATGTGTGAGACTTGATTGAGTTATTGGATTCTGGCTTCAACCCTTTCCAACTCTCAGACATTGCAGGAATTTGAGGAGTAAACCATTAGTGGGAGCCCCCTATTTCTTTCTCCTCCCACTTCAAATTAAAACAAAAAGTTTAATTAATTTCATTTGTTTGACAGGCAGAGTTATAGAGTGGTCTTCTATAAGCTAGTTCACTCCCCCAAATGGCTACAAACAACAGCCAGGGTTGGGCCAAACCAAAGCCAGAAGCCAAACTTATTCCAGGTCTCCTATATGAGTACAAGGGCCCAAGAACTTGGGCCATCCTCCACTGCTTTCCCAACCATATTAGCAGGCGGGACTCAAACTGGCACCCATATGGAATGCTGGCATAGCAGATATGTAGCCATATATATATAATAAATAAATCTCTTTTTTTTCATAAATTAGCTCTTTAGGCTTCTTAATATATTTTAGAGAAAACTGTATCACAGCCATGATATTAAAACTATTATCATGTGCTATACAAACCAATAAATCCCTCTGGTTAGCTGTTGCCTGCTCATCTAAGACCCTACAGAACCTGAGCCTACCCTTGGGAAGCAGGTTAGAGCTGTGTTGCTTCTCTGGGGTTTTCTTTTGAAGTTAAAACAGGGACTAGAAGAGACCGAGAAGGCACCAGCATCCTCACCAGCCACAGCATTGTTGTTTAGCATAATCAGCATTGGCCTTGTTGACCCTGGTACAGAACAGGGCAAGGGACTGATTGCCATGTGTCCAACAGCTGGTTGTGTAATGGAAGCCTCACACACTGGCTGGTGTGTGATGGAAACCTCACACGTTCTCACTTACTCTGTAGTGCTGGTCTCCCAGATGAGTGGTTTTCATTTCCTTTTTTTTTTTTTTTACTTATTTATTTTTACTGAAAAGTCAGATATACAAAGAGGAGGAGAGACAGAGAGGAAGATCTTTCGTCTGTTGATTCACTCCCCAAGCGAACGCGACAACCAGAGCTGAGCTCATCTGAATCAGGAGCCCAGATCCTTTCCCAGGTCACAGCAAGGAGCTAGACGGGAAGTGGGGGATGCTGGGATTAGAACCGGCCCCCATTTCCATTTTACAGAAGTGCAGTCTGAAGCTCAAAGCGACTGGGAAATTTGGCCAGAATCACTCAGCTAAGTGACCAGTGTCTGATCTTTTGTGGTTAACCTCAGCTAGTAGGATGTGCGCTCCTCTTGTTCCAATGTGGACTAGCCACCCTGACCCCAAGCACCAGGATCCCTTCTAGAAATGAACTAAATTTTTGCTGAAACTGTGGTTCTTTGTCCCTGCTGCCCAAGCTGGGGACAGTCCCAGAGTGCTTGGGAAGCAGGATTACTTCTCCATGCCGGGTCAGTGTTTTCCGCTCGCCAGTCTCTCCTACATGAAAGGGCCAGACACATCAAAGCAGGCAGCCCTGCCTGTTATTAGCAAGTTGGCTTACTTTGTAGCTTGGGAGTTTGGTTTGGCTTTGGCTTCCTAGCAATAATAGCTTAGAACCAGGAGACAACTTGGCCTTGTTGAGAGGCTTCTGTGGGTCTCATTGTCCCTTCCCTAACTTGTCCACTGGAGGCCTGTAAGGCACCCTGAGAGGCCCCCCACCAGGTGAAAAGGATGACCCTTCTGAGGACTAATGTCCCATGTCCTGCTGGTTGTCATATAGCAGAGCCACACAGGCAGATCTGGGCCTCTTCTCATGTTTCCTACCAAGTGCATGCTTATGGACCAGCTTTCATGGATCTTACCCAGCAGTGTTTGGGCATGTAGGGGAGTGGAGAAGGAGCAGCCATCACCTCCTGTCCCCTAGGGATTTGAGATACAAAGTGGAGTCATTCAGTCCCTGGGCTCTCCAGTCCCAGTCACCACCACCTTCCTCAGAGCCTCCACTTCTGCTTTTTTAAAATGGGCCAACCCTGCAAGATTACAGAAAGTGACACAAAGGAACACATCCCAGGAGCAATCAGATGCTGAGCCAAAGTCAGAGTGTTGTTATTGTCATCTTGGGTTACTGCAAACGTATCTGCATGCAGAGATGCCGGGATGCGAATGGTCCAGCATAGTCAGCTCCCTCATTGTGGGATTCCAGCTGCTACAGCTGCAGGATTTCAGGGGGACCCCCAGGCAGAAGTTCCTCCTGGGCAGAAGAGTGACCACCACTGCTCTACGCAGAGGATCAAAAAGGAGAGACGACAGGGTCTCCAGACGTATGCAATTATAACGGATCAGGGAAAGTAGGTATTTCTGATGATCTAGAAAATGGGAAATGTGAGATTGGAGAGGAGGTGCCTGCTCTTTTCCCTCTGGGACTCCGCTAGGGCCTGGAAAAGCTCCGTCCCTGTGGATTTTCTTCAGAGCTGGAACTGATTTTTAAAAAGTCAGCATGTGTGGGCCCGGCACGGTGGCGCAAGTGGTTAAGGTCCTCACCTTGCGCGCCCGGGATCCCATATGGGCGCCGGTTCTAATCCCGGCAGCCCCGCTTCCCTTCCAGCTCCCTGCCTGTGGCCCGGGAAAGCAGTCGAGGATGTCCCAAAGCTTTGGGACCCTGCACCCGCGTGGGAGACCCAGAAGAGGCTCCTGGCTTCGGATCGGCATAGTATCGGCCGTTGCGGTCACTTGGGGAGTGAATCATCGGACAGAAGATCTTCCTCTCTGTCTCTCCTCTCTGTATATCCGCCTTTCCAATAAACAAAATAATAAAAATAAATCTTTAAAAAAAAAAAGTCAGCATGTGGGCCTGGCATGATAAATGGCTAAAGACCTTGCCTTGAACACCCCAGGGATCCCTTTTGGGTTCCATTTTGTATCGTGGCTTCTCCACTTCCCATCCAGCTCCTTGCTTGTGGCCTGGGAAAACAGTTGAGGATGGCCCGAAGTCTTGAAACCCTGCACCCACATAGGAGACCTGGAAGAAGCTCTTGGCTTCTGGCCTCGGATTGGCTTAGCTCTGGACGTTGCAGCCACTTGGGGAGTGAATCAGTGGACAGAAGATTTTCCTCTCTGACTTTCCAATAAAATAAACAAAATCTTTAAACAGCAAATGCCTGCCCCTACACACACACCTTATGCCCTCCAATCAGCTTCTCACCAGGCATTGGCAGACACAGTTGAGACTCCTTCAAGACCCAGTGTGCACTGCAATGGCAGAAGTACATGCCCTTGGCCAACAGGAGACTTGAGAGGTTTCAAGCCATTACCTGGGGACTTATGCCTGTATGTCAATCATAGAGTAAGTCCCTTTGCCTTCCATTTCTGACTTTCTGAATTAAGACAGCTACAAGGGGCTGGTATTGTAGCACAGCAGAATACAAAACAATTTGTCATGACCACATCCCATTTACAAATGTCTGGGATAGAGTTCTGGCTCCACTTCCCATATGGCCTCCTGCTGATGTACCTGGTAGATAGCAGATGTGGTTGAGCCCCTTGCAAGACCTGAGTGGAATTCTGAGCTCCTGGCTTCAACCTGGCCCATCTCTAACTGTTTCAGGCATTTGGGGAAAGAATCAGCTCTCTCTCTCTCTTCCTCCCTCCCTTCCTCTTCATCCTGCTTCAGACCTTCTCTTCCCTTCCCCCACTCCTCCCTCACCTCTTGCTATCCCCCTGTCACTCTACCTTTCAAATAAATAACTAAAAATTTAAATATATACATGCACACAAAGATACTTCAGAAAGTCTGTGGAAAATGGGATTAAATGATGAGTTTACTTTGGTTCAAAATAATTTTGAGATTGAGCAGTTTCTAAAAGTTCATGGAAATGCATATTAGAAAAGAGTATGCATAGATTTCAGAATGTTTGGCACCAAAATAAAATAAAATGTCTTAGTTCCATCTCTGTAAACTTTTTGATGTGCTTTGTGTGTAGGCATGTTAGAAGCAAACTAATGTTTGCAATGCTTAATTGAAGGCAGTATGTTGTATCTGTGCACTAGAGGCCCAACACCTGGTGCTGATGATATTGTAGAATACAAATAGTATGAAGTTCACAAGGTGCTGTTCAGAGAAGTCATCTGTTTACAATATCAAATGTATGGTACAATCTGATTGTGTAAACATATGCTTCTAATACGTCGCTTGAGTTTCTTTATATACATAACAGATTGTATATGTGTGCGTGCGTGTGGCCCTGACTAGTGGTGCCAAGGCCCTTGTAAGCAATGCACATTCTTAGGCACTGTCCACTGAATCAGAAGCTCCGGGGGGTGGGCACAGTGGTCCTGAGGCCTGCTCCTGTTTGAGATCTCCCCGCCACCCCCCGCCCCCCAGCCTGGTAGCATTCTCACAAGCCCTTGCTGTTGAGGACTCAGCTGCATCTCCTCCTCTGCAGGCTCTGATCCAGCTGCCACCCTACATCTCGCAGTGCGAGGAGGTGCTGCAGTTCTTCGAGACGAGACCCGAGGACCTGAATCCACCAAAAGAGTAAGTTAGTTTGGGGGCTTCCCCTAGGACCTGCCCTTCCCACCCTCCCTCCCTTCTGTGTAGCCAGTCCCAGCAAGGACCAAAGTCAAGCAAAGTACAATCCGCGGGTTGAGCCCTGCCAGGTCAATCGTGGTGAACAACACTCTCTTCCCCTCCAGCAGGGAAAGGTAGCTGGCTGAAGGCCATGCCCACAATCCCATGATGCCGTCTGTACTTCTCAGAATGTATTGGGCAGGGCTGCCTGTGAGCCAGCCCCTGAGGCTGGGCAGCCAGCTCATCTCACTCATCTCGGAGTCTCACCTGCAGAAGTGGGGCCGTGCTTCGACACTATAGGTGGAAGATCCCTTGTCTGAAATGCCTAGGACCGGACCTTTTGGGGGGGTTTTCCAAAATCTGGAATCTTTGCATATTTATAATGAGATTGCCTTATGGATAGGATCCAAAGCTAAACACAAAACTCATTTATAATATTTCCCACACACATTGCATACCTCACCTGAAAGTGACTGTATACATCATGTGTAAGTCATTTTCTACCTGAAACCATTTCATAGTGTGGACTTCTTCACCTAGCACTCAAACTTCTGGCTTTTGAAGCATCCTAGGTTAACTATGTTCAGTGTCTGTAGGCTGTGGGTAATAAGAGACCAGGACCTGCTCCGGACTCTGTGGCCAGGGACAGTGACCGTGAGGCTACTCAGGGGTCCAGGATGTCTCCCAGCCTGGCCTTCCTGTTGCTTCTGTCTGCCATGGCCAGGCCCAGCAGCCTGTCACTGCATATCCAGCACCCGAGCCACACAGTGCACAGCATCCAGAACTCCAATATTGTCTGTGTCCCTGCCAGCCACCAGTACCGACATACGCTTGATATTCTTTGGTTTTAAGACTTACTTGTTTGCAAGACAAGTTACAGAGAAAAGAGAGAGATTTGCCTTCCATTGGTCACTTCCCAAATGGTTACAGATAGGCATGACTAGACCAGGCAAAAGCCAGGAACTTGAAGCTCCATCCAAATCTCCCAGTAGAGTGGCAGGGGTCCAAGTAGTTGGGCCATCTTCTGCTGCTTTCCTAAGCACATTAGCCAGGAGCTGGGTTGGAAGGGGAGGAACAAGAACACAAATTGGCACTCAAATGAGATGTCAGTGCTGCAGGTGGTGGCTTAACTCCATGTGCCACAATACCAACCCTTTGCACCTTTTAAAAAGTCCTTTGATGGGAAAGGTGGCAGGTGTGTATGCAGAAGCAGAAAATCTGGTTAATGAGGAAGTAGTGGTGGGGAAAGAAGGAGACAAGCCCACAGGATAGGGCTGTCTTGGGGTCCTGGGAACAAGAGCTCATAGCCTGTGGGATCTGTGTGGGCTCTACCCTGAAGTCTGGGAAGTGCCAGCCAGGCCACTGCAGAAGAAGCAGGAGCCACTAGAGCCTGCCTATTGTCCATAGTAGCAACAGCAACATGGCTGGCGCCCGCTCCACTAACAACAGGTATCCAAGAGTGCGCCATGCACGTGACTCACATCCTGACAGAAAGATGCATGTTGCTTTTTGAAGTAAATTTTTATGGACCACAGAGCTTGTTTTTAAAATAGACTCATGAGGAAAAAGGATCCAACAATTCTCCTAAGTGAAGCTGGGCCTTTTCTCTCGGTAGCCATGCAGCAACCTTCAGATCATCCCAGAGGTCACACACCTCCAAAGGGGTTGCTCAGGACCAAGCATTTAGCTTGCACTCAGAGGTATAAGCTTAGCCTCCTAGAATTCAGAATGCAACAGATACTGTGGGCTATGACAGGCACAGAGGTCATGTGACATTCCACAGGGGCTCCACGTCGCCAGCCTTCAAATCACAAGGAAGTGTCTCATACCAACATGGGAGCCAAGACACAGCTCTGCTTAAAAAAAAAAAAGACTTCGTCAGTGATGCTGTGTGTCTTCAGCCCACACTGGCTCATGTTTCTGAGCTTGATGCCTGATGTTTGTGTTTTGGTCAACATTCCCCAACTCTTAGGGACATCACAAGACAGTGAGATATTCTCCGAGCCCCCTGGCCTGCAGGCCTCCTTGGCTTTAGTTATCATATCTAGGCAAGATGAGTCAGAGGGAATGGCGTTTATCCTGTTTGAAAGCAACCAAGCAGGGCCCGGCACAGTAGCCTAGTGGCTACAGTCCTCACTTTGCACACGCTAACATTCCATATGGGCTCCAGTTTGTATTCCAGCTGCTCCACTTCCCATCCAGCTCCATGCCTGTGGCCTGGGAAAGCAGTCAAAGACAGCCCAAAGCCTTGGGACCCTGAACCCTTATGGGAGACCCAGAAAAAGCTCCAGGCTTCTGGCATCAAATCAGCTCAGCTCTGGCCGTTGTAGCCACTTGGGGAGTGAACCAACAGATAGAAAAGATTCTGTCTCTCCTTCTCTCTGTAGATCTGACTTTCCAATAAAAATAATTTCTTTTAAATGAAAGAAAGCAAGCAACCAGCTAGAAATGGACATTCCCACTTTGCAGATGGAGAAGCTGAGGCTCAGCATCATAGAGGACCCAGGGTCACACAATTTGAAAGAGGAGAAGGGAATTCCCTACAGCTCTGCCCGAGTTTTAACTTAAGCTCAGAGCAGCCTCCATGTGTGTTTCCCACATAAGGGATGGCTTGGAGGAACAGAAAGCAGCCCAGGGTTTGAGGCCCAGCTCCACCTCTTCCGGGCATCTACTTTCTGCACTGTGATGGAGGGACTGGCCATACCCCCAAGGGGAGCAGTGAGGATGGAGTGACCGACCACTGGCTCTCTGGAGGAGTCAGGTGCTACAACCCACATGCCCTTGTCACACTTACTGGCTTACTCCCTGGTGCCTGTGGCTTACTTGTGGCCAAGGCTTCCTGACCATGAACCTTGTCCAGCCAGAAGGACCAGTACTGTTCATCCCTAGGCCTAGTGTCAGGCACCAGGACGTGGGGTGGCATGTCAGACCCCGTCCATGTCTGCAGGGAGCTGACAAGCACCCAGCTCTTCCACCCGGGCAGGCCAATGATTCCTCCCTTTCTACCTCAGTTTCTTCACATGACATGACATCACCTGCTCTGTCCCATGGATAGAGTTAGTGGGAGGCCTAAAGGAAGTGAGGGGTGGGAACCTCAGGTAGGGATCTGCAATTTCCTGGAGCTAGGGGCCCAAATCACAGTGTTCCCCACAATCTCGTGGGCTATTAGATTTGGTCAAAAAAGGATCCGTTGCTTCCCCCACTGAGCTGCATTCTCATGTATCTGAGGGGGATTCTGTTTCCTCGGGTCTTTTATTTCACTCTTACTCGTTTATTTATTTGAGAGCTAGAGCTCCCGTGTGCTAGTTTAGTCCTCAAATGCTCGCACCAGCAAAGGTGAGCCAGGCTGGAAGTGGGAGCTGGTAACTCAGCCTGAGTCTCCCGTATGGGTGACAGCAACAGTTACTGTTGCCTCCCCAGAGTTTGTATTAGCAGAAAGCTGGGAGAAGTCAAGGAACCAGAATTTGAGCCCAGCATCCCCCTATGGAACACTGGTGTCTGGATCATTGTTAACTGCAAGGCCCAATGCCTGCCTCTCCCCACTTCGTAAGTAGAAAGAATGCCTATTTTGCAGGGCTGTGGTGAGACTAGAATGTAGATCGTTGCATGTGTATGCAGTCAAGGACCCAGTACTCAGCGAGTGGTCAATGAGAGCAAGTAAGGATTTCCCAAACTTGCCCTTCTCCTTCCCCACACGTGGGCTGTGAAGTTCAGACTCTTGGATCCAGGGACCTCAGGGCCAGCCCAGCTCAGCTGCAGGACCAGGTCCTGCTGCTCCTTCCAGACACTCAGGGCTGCAGCCCCAGGCTCGCTTCCTTCTCCAGAAGTTGCCCTGAGCGTGATTCCATGCTACTTAAAAACCAAACTTTAGAATCAGACTCTGAGCAGACGTGTCTCCCGAGAAGTTTCACAATAAGCACGTGACAAGACATTCAACATCATTAGCCCACAGGAAGTGCTGGATCCAGCTCCATCAAGGCACCCCTGCACACCTGAGGGTTGTTTGCAGTCATTTGTTAGCACTTTCATTGTCCTAGAGGCAGAGAAGTTAGAGCATCCATGTGTCAGGTAGAGACAGTGAAGAGACCACCCAGCAGTTTCTTCATTACCTTGAGTTTCTGTAGGCCTAGCAATTTGGCTTCCAAGTTGTGAACCTCCAAGAGGAGTGAAAACCCGTGGGCACAAAAGCTTGTGCACAGGTGTTCAGCAATGTGTTATTTGTTACAGCCACCAAGTGGAAATAGCCCAAAGCACCCATGAGGCGGTGCACAGATAAACAAAATAGAATCCCCCTACAATGGGATATGATTGAGCTGTGGAAGGAAGTAAGAATATGGTACCTGCTACAATGTGGACAAACTGAAAATATTTTGCTAAGTGAAAGGAGCCAGACACAAGAAGGCACTGTATGATTCTGTTGCTAGGAAGTGACCAGAATACACAGATCATTGGAGACGACAGGCAGGTCTATGTTTACTGGGGACCAAGACGAGTGGGTATGGGGATTCTTTTGGTAAATGATGAGGATGCTAGGAAATTAATGTGATGGTTGCACGGCCTTGTGCATATGCAAAAATATGCAAAAATAGCCAGTTGTATGCTTGTAGATTAATTTTATGGTACATTAATTATATTTCCATTTATAATAATAAACAATTGGGTTCAGGTTCTGACTGGACTGTTTTGCTAGCTCTGTACCTAGCAGGTTGCTGGCAAGGGATGGTAGCTGATGCTACTGTTGTCATAGCATCCATCCCAATCCAGTCCAACTGCAGGACACCATTCCCATGGAATCATTTACTTAAAAGTGCCCTATACACCATGATTTTTTTTCTGTAAGATTTATTTATTTTCATTGGAAAGGTGGGTTTATAGAGAGGAGAGACAGAGAGAAAGATCTTCCATCCACTGATTCATTCCCCAAGTGGCCTCAACAACCAGAGCTGAGCTGATGAGAAGCCAGGAGCCAGGAACTTCTTCTGGGTCTCCCATGCAGGTGCAGGCTCCCAAGGCTTTGGACCATCCTTGTCCGCTTTCCCAGGCCACAAGCAAGAAGCTAGAAAGGAAGTGGAGCAGCTGAGACACAAATCTGCCCATAAGGGGTCCCAGCATGTGCAAAGGGAGGATTTAGCCACTAAGCTGTCGTTCCATGCCCATTACACTCTGATTTGTAATATTCATGTACAATTGTATAAGGAACCCTGGCATGGTATACTTGGAGGTGGGGCATTAGCCAGTTGAGCTAACATGCAAGCCCCAGAAGTCGGGTCCCTTGGGTTGCTATGGATTGTTCATACACTGGCAATTCGGAATAGAAAATCTTCATTTCCTAATGAAGTAATGTCCCAATACACAACAAGTACTAACTCACTTCTCCTCATCATCCCCCTTTTTTTCTATGCAGGGAGCACATTGGGAAAAAGAAATCTGGTAAGAATATTTCCGTTTTCTGCTTGTCATTCAATGTCTAACATACTCCTACTAAGCACCAGCTAGCTGTGTGCCAGTCCCTCAGTTCCACACTGGAGGTATGCTGATGTGATTGGATGGATGCATGATACTTAATGTAAGGGTGGAGAGATGGATGGGTGGGTTAATGCTGGGTGGATGATTGAATGGATGGATGGATAGATGGATGAGTGAATGCATTGACTAAATGGATGGGTGGATGAATGCTGAATAGACTAATGGATGGTTGATGGATGCATGGCTGATGCTGGATGGATGGATGGATAGATGGATGGATAGATGGATAGATGGATGGATGGATGGATGGATGGATGGATGGATGGATGGATGGATGGATGGATGGATGGGTTGATGTCTGGCTGGTTCATTGCTGTTCAACTTTGCTTCCCCCAAAGGATTTGACACTGTTTCACTCTATACCAAAACATTGTGAAGTAGGTGGGACCTAGAGTCCTCCCCTGAGGATGCCTTCACTGAGTAGGGGCACAGACATTTTCCTAAGCACACCTGGCGGGGCTGGAGGAACACCTGCATTCCTCTTTGTGCAGAGTTGTGTGGTGGCCAAGCATGTGCTTCTCAGGTGTTGGGAAGGGCTCAGGAAGGAGGACTGTGTGTCTTATAGAATGATTAGGTCCTTCCCTACATACAGTGCCGAACTGAAGGGGTAGCATGCCTGCAGACTGGGATATGCCATCTATCCAGCGTCCACAGCTTGGGAGTCCAGCCTCTGCAGCTCCTCTCAGGCAGCCACCATTCTGGGCTGAAAAGACAAATGCAGATTCAACCAATCCCCACACTCACTTCCACTCTCCAGTTTCCTTCCTGCCTAACAATTCTCCCATCCCCTAAACTACACAACTCTGTGATCAGAAGCAAACATGAGAAAAGCAGTGGAGATCACCCAGAGCAATGATAGCATTCTCCCCAGAGTTCAGAAAACTGCAGTTGACTACAGCCACCCAAGGTCACCTCTCACTGCTGCAGAGGCCCTGGCCCGTAACACCTGCAGCCAGTATGGTCTTCAAGACCTCTGAGACTGACTGCTTTCGTTTCCTGGCATCCTGGAATGTTTGAGGGATATGATGAGGGCATAGGACAGTAGGTGTAGGACAGAGATCCCAGGTGTGAAAAGGGAGGATGCCTTCTCTTCTGGTCCTCAGTTTCCCCATCTGTCAATTGAGAATGGTTATAGTCATCTGCCACTTGCAGTAGTGTCTGACCCATCAGAAGTCGTATAGGTTCACTGCCCTTTTTCTGACCAGCTCCACCACTGTTAGTGAAAACACACAGGTATCCCTAAGCCACATCAGTAGCCATTCCAAACTCAGCAGCTGTGGTCACCCTCAGCCCCAGAGGTACCCCCTGGTACAGAGCCTGCGGTCAGCTTGGTGGGCCCTCAAGGCCATTCTGAGAAGAATGGACATCAGATCCTTTGTGTCAAAGTACAGCATCTGGAATGAACGCCCGCCTTTTTCCAGTCAGTCTGTTTACAGCTGTGCTTTCTAATAGGTACTGGCCAGGGCCATGGCGTCCTTCTCAAGCTGCAAATAGTCCCTGGGCCCGAGGGATAATTGTATGTTTCTTAGAAAAGAGCAGAGAGGAGCTGCCTCTCTGGGGCCGGTCATTGAGTTTCTGGTTTTGACCACGAAGCCATTTTCCCCTTGGAAGCACAGTGAGTGGAAGAGACGGTTCTGTGGGTTGTGAAAACACTGATGTCCTGTCAGCTCTAACCTGATGAAGAGGCTGGTCTGAAAAGAGAAGAAACTGTCATTTGCAGTGGCCACTGTCCCATCATCCAGCTGCGGTGGTGGCAAACGGATGTATTCATAGTTCAGCCAGATGGCAAATAGCACCCTCCTTCATTCAGACAGAGCACCTGTGCTGGGGTTAGTTTGTTCCATGTCTGACCTTTAAACGCTTCCTTTATTTTAGAACCTGCCTTGTTGTTTTAATTTTAAAGGGATTTAATGTTCTTCTTATGAACTCTTGGTGGGAGAAGGCTTATCCCTCCCTGCCACTTCCCAGTCGTGACTGACGAGCTCCTCCTGTGGACTCTGATTGAGGTGCTCTCGATCTGCTCACCCTGCAGAAAACAAAATCTTCTCATTGCAGTTTACCATTGCATCTCATGATTTTACGAACACCTGTTCCTTCACTGATAGAAGTAGTCCCTTATTTGCTGACTCTCTGAACAAGCCTGACAATAGGTGGGCTGCTGGAAGGAAAATCCACTTTAACATTGTGTATCATTTTTAAAAGTTCAAAACGGGCCCGGCACGGTGGCGCAAGTGGTTAAAGGTCCTCGCCTTGCACGCCCGGGATCCCATATGGGCGCCGGTTCTAATCCCGGCAGCCCCGCTTCCCTTCCAGCTCCCTGCCTGTGGCCTGGGAAAGCAGTCGAGGATGTCCCAAAGCTTTGGGACCCTGCACCTGCGTGGGAGACCCGGAAGAGGCTCCTGGCTTCGGATCGGCATAGTATCGGCCCGTTGCGCTCACTTGGGGAGTGAATCATCGGACGAAATAAATCTTTAAAAAAAAAAAGTTCAAAACACCATGCGAGGGTTGTGGGGGGGAAGCCAAATACCGTACCATTTGAAAGCATTACAGCACTATGGCAAAAACCCATCTCGCACTGTCAGATCTCCTTCCAGCCACTTCCTGCTGTCATATATGGCCTGCACAAAAGTGACATCCCTTGCTTAGAGAGCCATTGATCCCACCCTTTGACAACTGCTGAAGCTTAGCTGTTACTGTGGTAAGAAATTCTGAGGCACTCATAGAGCTTGGTTGCAATGTTGCGTCTCACCAGTAGGTGTCTTCCTGTGACACCTACATGGCCTGAAGCCTAGTTTGAAAACTTCAGATGCATGGGATGAATCAAGTTCTTTCTTGTGGTTTTGTAATTGAGTGACTTTTATGTGACTGCAGCAGAGATGATTCTTGTGCTTGCTTGGCTGTTGCCAACTCTGGACAGATGGGCATTCACACCCATCTTGGAAGGCACAGGGCGTGTCATGCTCAGGGCCTTAGCCATCCCTGCTTTGTGGGTGTCTTCCCTGCGAAGGTCTTAGTGTCTTCCCCGAGCCAGTGGTCTGCTCCTATCAGCTCAGAATCTAAACCTTACTCTCCATCCTCCTCATTTCCTGGGTTTGTGTCTTGCTAACAGCAAACCCCATGCTTTCCTGATTTGCACACCATCCCTTGTTTTGCCAGTATCCCATTCGCAATCAGCAGAGCTAATGCAAAGTGAATAGAACAGTCCATTCTTCAGAGATCCTGAAAATTGTGTGGGGGACAGTGGTGCCACTATTAGGTGCTAAAACTGCCTGGCAGCAGTGGAACTTAACAAAAACAAAACTGTGGCCTCCCTCTGGTCTCCAGCTTGCTTTCTTGCCAGACTGTGATCCATTCTCTAAGTGGCAGGCAGTATTCTCTCTTTTTTTTGAATTTGTGTTTGAGTGACACAAACAGAATGGTTCACTCTCCAAAATACAACAGCTAGGACTAGACTGTGCTGAAGTCGAGAGCCAAGAACCTAATCCAGATCTTCCCTGGGAAAGGCAGGGACTCCCTGAACTTGAGCTACCACTCACTGCCTCCCAGAGCCTGTGTTAGCAGCAGTTCAGAGTCAGGAGCCAGAGCTGGGCAGCAAATCTAGGCACTCCAGTGTGCCAGCTTCCTAAGCAGAGTCTTAACCACCATGGTACCCCCAGAATTCTATCATTTTTCTAAAATTTGTCTTATTTCTATGAAGGACAGAGTCACAGAGAAAGATTTTCTGTGTGTATTCATTACACACACACACACACACACACACACACATACACTCAAAGGGCTGCAACAGCCGAGGCTGGGCCAAGCTAGGAGCCAGGAGCTTCTTCTGGGTCTCCCGTGTGGGTGCAGGGACCCGAGCAGCTGGTCCATCTTCCACAACTTTCCCAGGCACATGAGCAGGGAGTTAGACGGGACGTGAAGCAATGAGGACTTGAACCAATGCCCATATGGAATGCTGATATTGCAAGCATCCCAGAATTCTCTTGTTAGAGGTGTAAATCATGTCACTTTCTTTCTTAAAACCCTTAATTTGCCTTCTGCTTAAGAATTCAAACTTGATGTTGTTAAATTTTTATTGATACATTCTCATTTTATTTGAAAGAGATCTTCCATCCTCTGGTTCATTCTCCCAGATTCCTGGCTGGGCCAGACCAGGAGCATAGAAGTCCATCCGGGTCTCCCACATGGATGGCAGGGACTCAAATCATTGAGCCATCACTGCCACCTAACAGAGCTTACCTTAGCCAGGAACTAGATCCAAGGTGGTATAGCCATGGCCTGAAGCAGACATTCTGATTTAGGGTGTAGTGCCAAGTGCTGCCTTTGCCACCATGCCAAATGTCTTCCCACGCACACACATATACAAAATCCGAATGTCTTACTTGGACCATATCAGTCTAGCCATGAGTGACCCATGCTTAACCTCTGGACTGTCATTTGTAAGTACCGTTTTCTTACCCACCAGACTTTAGCCACCCAGCCCTCTTTGAGTCGCGTAAGCTCCTGGCACTTCCCCATCAGAGTCTGGCGGTACTGGTCCTGCCCCATTCTCCCCATGACTTGTCCCCTCTGCAGTATCTGTGTCTCTGCTGTATGGCAGCTGCTTAGGGAGGACTTCCTGACTCGTGTGCTTAAAATAAAGTACCGTCTTTCCCCTCCAGTCACTACCCCGGCATCCTGCTTGTTCAGTCAACACCACTTAGATACTTATGTATATTACACAAGTGTCTGCACACCTAGACTGAGTTACCGGAGGCTGAGAACCATATCTGTGTCCTCTCCTTTTGCATCCCAGCACCTTAGAGTACCTAGAACACCACCGATGCCTTCGTGATTCCACAGCCAAGTGACTTGGGATGGATGATGGATGCCTGCTTAGTTGGATAGGTGATGGATGGGAAGATGGTTGAAAGGATGGTGGATGGATGGATGTTTGGATGAATGCTGGCAGATGGACTAACAGAAATAAGTGAACTTTCCCACTAGGCAGTCAGCTTCTTCAGTACAGACACCCCACCCACCTGCGTCGTCACTGATGTATTTTGACAGTTGAGTAAACAAGTGAATAAAGGAACGCATGTGTGAGGTCACCCTGGCCCTGAGTCCTGCACTAGCTTCTTTGTCTGGAGTGAGCCCCCGACCCACCATTATGCATGGATATTAGGATATGCATGTGACATCTGCTTGTGTTTCCTGCCCACAGGAGGTGACCTGACCTCGGTGGACCCCATGGTGCTGGAGCAGTATGTGGTGGTGGCCAATTACCAGAAGCAGGAAAGCTCAGAGATCAGTCTCAGTGTGGGCCAGGTGGTGGACATCATCGAGAAGAATGAGTCAGGTGGGAAAAATGACCTCCCTGCCCACCCTGTCACCGAGCCCCTGGGGCAGGAAAACGGGAACTCAGAAACTTCCCGAACCGGTGCAGACTGGTCAGTTTCCTCAATTGGTAACAATGCTGGTCAGTACCACAGGGCCCGGCTCACCAGTGTCCTGTTCGCTTAGACGTTACTGGCTGATTCTGAGGCTCAAGACACAGTTGAGCATTCCACAGGAAAGTTGTGCCTTGATTTACCTTTAGTCACCCCTGGAGTCTTCCAGAAGGTTCCATCAGTGCTGCACCCTGGAGGGACTGACACAGCACCTGTGTCCACTGGCCCAGCTGCCCTCTCGGAGGCCCCCGGGCTGCCTGCACAGGTTGGGCCTGGGGTAGAACGTGGTGTAATGGAGATTGGGGTTGGGGTCTGGGATTCCCACCTGACCATTCACGTGTTCATCTGCCAAATGCAGAAGGCCTCCCTGAGGAGGAGTTGTAAGGAGGAAATTAAAGAAAGCAGAGAGCGTAGCTAAGCCTGGGTGTGGTGCGGAGTAGGAGATTCCTTCCGTTAGCTTCCCTAGCCACAAAGCACCCACTGCGCACCCTGGCAGGCAAAGGGAGAGCGCAGGGTACGGCCAGTACAAACATGAGGGTATTTCCTTAAAAGAAAATTCAAAATAAGTTGATTTTGTTGTATCGAAAAATTGGAACCCATGCTTAGTAAGATTTATTTATTTTGATTGGAAAGTCAAATATACAAAGAAGAGGAGAGACAGAGAGGAACATCTTCCATCTGCTGGTTCACTCCCCAAGTGGCCACAACAGCCAAAGCTGAGCCGATCCAAAGCCAGGAGCTTCTTCCAGGTCTCCCATGTGGATGCAAGGCCCCAAGGCTTTAGGCCATCGACTGCTTTCCTAGGTCACAAAAAGGGCGCTGAAAGGGAAGTGGAGCAGCCAGGTTACAAACTGGTGCCCATATGGGATCCATATTTATCCACGAGGCTATTGGACCAAGCCCTCTGTTCTGCGTTTGATAGGCTGGACTTGAACATCCTAGAACCTTGGTGTCCTGGAGCCAGTTCCTGCGGACCCAGGGTTGGGCACTGGATCAGGAGTCTGACACCATGCATCCTCTCTTCCCCAGGGTGGTGGTTCGTCAGCACAGCTGAAGAGCAAGGCTGGGTCCCTGCCACCTGTCTCGAAGGACAGGACGGCGTGCAGGATGAGTTCTCTCTACAGCCGGAAGAAGGTAGGAAGGAACTGCAGCCCGTGTGCGACCACAGCCCTGACAGGGCCACCTCCTCCTCTCCTGTCCTGTTCTGCGACCTCTGCCTCCAGACACCAGCTCCCACCACCCCCCGCCTGCCTCCTGTCCACACTCACTGTTCCCTCCTAGACGCGTTCTGGTATCGGGATGCCGGCACTGCCTCTGCTCATGGCAAGGCACACAACCCCTGCTGGGGAAGGATCTCTGCCATCTCTATTGGGCAAAATGGCCCTGTCCAGGCGCCAACATGGGTACTGCTGTCACTGCGCCCCACAGGCTTCCGTTTGCCGCGGATCTGCCTCCAGGTGTCCTGAGTGGCAGTTCCCTCCACACCAGCAGTAGGCATTCTCTTTCTCTTCTAAACAGTGGTTCTAGAACTTGATTATCATTGAGTGGGCAAGTGATCGTGGGCCAATGACTTAACCTCTTGAAGCTCCCACTGAAAATGGAAATATGGCTTCAAAAAGTTCATGAAAAATGGGATCAAATGGTAAATTATCATGGGACAAAACATTGTGAAATGCATGCAGTGCTTTTTCATACTACGTATTTCCCATGAAGTGCTTGAAAACCCCACATAGGTTATGGGTTTCTTCATACAAGTTCAAGGTGAATACTCAGGAACTGGGTGTTTCTAAGTTACCTGGGGCTTGGGATAGACTCCAAAATAACGCATCCTCTGCCAGATTGCCCCTTATTGCAAGGCCCCAGGAGTGCTGTCTTCTTACCTCTGCCTTCTGCCCTTCCCTCCACATGCTGTCCACCAGTATCATGGAGGTACTGGTCTTTGCCTCGGCCCGCGGGCTGCCGCCGGACTCTGGGGGACTTGAATGCTATCAGCTGGCGCCCAGGTGCCTGCCTCGGCGTTTCCTTCCCCATGTGGTGTTGGGAGCCGGGTCCCTGCATCTGCATGAGCTGCCCAGCTCTCGGACTGCCCGTGCCTGCTGCATGTGAGGAAACCAGTGGTGTTGTGTGTGTCTCATGGAGTGACGGTTGGCATGTGGCTGTGGGAGGAGCCAGCCTGGTTGGGCCGGGTGTGTCTGGGCCTCAAGGTTGGCAAGTTTCCCAGCTTCAAAAATCATACCGGGGAACCTGTTCTGTTCATTGGGTACATGTGAGTGCCAGGGAAAGAAGCCCCCATCAGCCAGGTGAGACAGAAAAGGGGAAAGTCCTATGGCTGAGGAGCCCAGAGCAGGCCTAACTTAGGCATGACTTTGGCGATGCAGTGAAGATCTGGAGCTCCTTGACCCTCCACCTGCTGCTCTGTTCTCGGCCTTGCTGCTGGCCGCATCCTTTCAAGATGACGGGAGCTCCAGACAACTTCCGGTGATCATCCCCAAAGAGAGAGCTACTCCTTCAGCCCGAGCTCCAGACTGGCACCAACTCCTCTGCCCAGGATCACTGTGAAGCCAATCCTAGTTACCCATCCAAGGGTCACACATACCACCGACTTCCTCCAGGAAGGGATGGGCTATGCCTTGCTCAGACCACATGGAGAGAGGCCAGTAGGGCCAGCAGGAAAAGGGCAGTGGGGTACAAGGCTGGGGACCTCAGAAGACACCCATGATGTAGTCCCTAAGGTCTCGTACCCTGAACTCTGCTTGCATTCATTGAGTGGTCTCGTGGGTGCTGGAGAATCCAGAGAGGGAGAGGAAGATCTGTCTCAGGAGCTCCAGGCCAGTAGGACTGACTACACTCCAGTTGAAGATATAGGCAGCACTCCCCCTCCCAACCAGACCAAACAGAACTTCCATGCATCCGTCCGCCGGGTGGAACTGTCCCCTACTCCCAACCCCCACCCCTCACCCACTTCTCCCAGCCCAGGGCAGCTTCCGCCAAGGAGGACACAGCTGGTCAGGGTGAATGCCGGATCTGTGCAGCTTGAGTCAGCGTAGCCCCGCCAAGCAGGTCGGCGGGCCAAGTCAATCAGTAAATAAACACCCCGTGTGCTTTTCCGCCTCTGTCTGCACAGAGGGGCAAGGCGCCAAGCTAGCTAGAAGGGTGTTTCCAGAGAGCTGGGGCCTGCACCGGCCTCCCAGTCATTGCCACTAGGACACAGCTGGCACAGTCCCTCAGAGACTGACACGTCACCATAGCAGGAAAGCACCATAGCAGGAAAGCCCTCTGTCTCACGGGCTGGTCCTTCCGGGACATACATCCATGTTTGAGCTGTTTCCTTACTCTCTAGAGAGCCATGCCTGAATGTGACGATGAGCCAGGCCTCCTGGGCCAGCTGCTGTGTGGGGGACACAGCTGGAGGCCGCTCTTAGGGAGAAGGGAGGAGCATGGCTTCAGCACCGAGTGACTTACAGCCCACTCACTTGGATGGAAATTGAAGCTTCAGGCATAGTTAGATGCAGGGCTTGAATGCATTCATGTAAAACAAAACCCACAGTTACAAGCCTGGTAGTGACAACACCGGTTATCCCCTTCATGATAGCAGTTTCAGCCTGAAACCTTGAACTCTCCACTGGTGAGATCGGCAAGGTGGCGCCAACCAGACCTGCGGGTCTTGCTCTTTGTCTAAACAGCCACTCAGAATCCTAGTAGTGAAACACCGTGAGTAAGTCCAGGTAAAAATAAATCACTCAGAGGTTGTGTCCTGAAACCAGAGGGTGGAAATCCGTCAAGGCAAGAGGATAGAATAGTGGATAAGGTAGTCCAGAACATGACCTTGACACGCAGCTTTAAGAAGGGTGAGGATGAACGTGACATGGAGGAATGGCAAGGGGACTTGAGGATGGACCCTTTGTCGTGCATCATGCTGCTGCTTGCCCAGGCCTGCCTGGGGACCTGGGGGTGCATAGTAACCTTCCCACCTCGCACAAGGGCCTGGCCTGGGTCACAGACAGCCTGCCCTGACCGCCCTGCATCCTGCGCTTACTGCAACCTGTCTTTGTCCCTGCAGAGGAGAAGTACACGGTCATCTATCCGTACACAGCTCGTGACCAGGATGAGATGGACCTGTTCAGGGGGGCTGTGGTGGAGGTTATCCAGAAGAACCTGGAAGGCTGGTGGAAGATCAGGTGCGCGCACTGCCTCCTGCTCTGATTGGGTGGGCTGGGGGCTGCGGTTTCACAGCAGTCGGTGAATAAGTGCAGCTAGCACACCAAACCGCAGAGTGCAGTCACACCAGGAAGCAAGGCTGGTCTCCCACTGCAGAAGTCTCACATGAGCTGTGTTATTTATTTATTTACTCAAAAAGCAGAGTTACAGAAAGAGAGGGGGAAAGACAGAGGGGTCTTCCATCTGCTCTTCACTCTCCAAATGGCTGCAACAGCTGGAGCTGGGCCAGGCTGAAGCCAGGAGCCAGGAGCTTCTTCTGCATCTCCCTAGTGGGTCAGGGGCCCAAGAACTTGGGCCGCCTTCTGTTGCTTTCCCAGGCAACAGGGAAAGCAGGGAGCCGGATCTGAAGTGGAGCAGCTGGCCCTTAAAACTTGTGCCTTGTGCAATGCTGATGCTTAAGGAAAAGACTTAACCTGTTATGACACCACACTGGCCCCTGGTCATTGCTTTTGTGCAGAATTTTGCCATGCAGAAAACTCACCGTTAGGTCCTGGTGCAGTGGCTCAGTTGACTAATCCTTCCCTTGCTAGCACTGGGATCCCATATGGGTGCCAAAATTGTGTCCCAGCTGATTCACTTCCCATCCATCTTCCTGCTTGTGGCCTGGGAAAGCAGTGGAAGGTGGCCCAAAGCCTTAGGACCCTGCATCCGTGTGGGAAACCCCAAGAAATTTATGGCCCCTGGCTTCGGATCAGCTCAGTTCCAGCCATTGCAGCCATTTGGAGAGTGAACCAACAGATAGATCTTTTTCTATGTCTTATTTCTGTAAATCTTCCTTTCCAATAAAAATAAATAAATCTTGAAAAAAAAAAAAAGAAAGCTGAGCATTAAACTCAATGAGTTCCTTTATGGAAGAACCATGAGCTGATCTGTCAGGGTGTCACTCCACTCTTCTATGATGACCATCTCTGGCTAGTCTGGGTCAAGCCCTGACCTGCCTCCTTCCCACACAGAAGGGGTGTTAACCAACAGGGACAGAGTCCTGCCCTGCCTGCCTGCGCCTAGCTTTGTGCCAGGAGTTGGAGCTGCTGGGAAAATGCCACAAAGCACAGCGGCCCAGTTGCCTAGGTTGGAATCTGCAGGCCAGCTTGTAATCTTGTGTAACACACAACCTCTCTGCTGCAGTCTGCTTCCTTTTAAAACAGATCTCAGGGTGGGTGTTGGCACTGCAGTTAAAGATGCTACTTGAGACACCTGCACCCCGTGTCTGAGTAGCTAGGTCTGAGTCCCACTTCTTCTCTCATTCCAACTTCCTGCTCGGGTGCATCTGGGAAGAGAACAGGTAATGGCTCACGCGTTTGAATCCCTGCCCACGTAGGAGATATAGACGAGAACTTTCTGGCCCCTAAATGCAGCCTGGCCTAGCTCTGGTTGATGAGAGATCTCTGCCTCTCAAATAAATAGCTAAATAATTTCAAACATATATGCACATAGATTTTTTTTAAGAGTTACTTACTTTTATTGGAAAGGCAGATTTACAGAGAGAAGGATCTTCCATCTACTAGTTCACTCCCCAACTGACCAAAATGGCCAGAACTGAGCCAGTCTGAAACCAGGGGCCAGAAGATTCTGGATCCTAGGGACTTGAGCCATTCTCTGCTGCTTTCCTAGACCATAAAAAAAGAGCTGGATGGGAAGTAGAACAGCTGGGGCATGAACTGGTATCCATATGGGATCCTAGCACTTGCAAGGGGATTATTAACTAACTGAGCCCTCACGCTGGGCCGCACACAGAGGTTTTGATACAGCTTTGGTGTCCCTTGTCTGAAGTGCTTGGAATCAGAAGGGGCTTTTTTGTTTTGAATTTTTTGGGTTTTTTTCCACATTCTTTTTTTCAGATTGTGGAATATTTGAATACACATGAGCTATTATGGAGATGGGACCCACATCTAAACACAAAATCCATCTTTATCTCATGCACACTTTGAAGACAGTGATCTATGACATTTTTAGTGCGCCTGCACCCCGTTTCTTGAAGTCAGGTGTGGAATTTTCAGGCCGTCACTCCAAATGTTGGTTTTGGAGCACATGGAACTTCAGACTTTTGGATTACTCAGCCTGCAATGGCTCCCCACTGTGGCTGGCTGGATTTGATCCCATCAGTAGCTCTAAGTGCTTAGGACAGAGCTGACAAAGGAAATGCCCTAGTGCCACGGGTCCTCATAATTGTTACTGCGTGACAGCTCAGGGGATTGCCACTGCAGCACAGCTGTGAGCCTGCTCCTGGCCATTTGACTCCGCTGCGTTCCTACCCCCCAGAAGCTTGCACTCTGGGGAGACAGTTGTAGGTGTCCCCTTCTAAGTACTGGGTCACAGTGTGTGTAGGAGACAACATGACTTTGCAGGGGGAGGGAGGAAAGACTGCAAGCAAATCCCAGAAAGATGAGCAGGTGGTCAGCAGGAAGGAGTGGGGAAAGGAGCTTTCCAAGCCAAGGGTTGCAGGAGCTGGAGGCTGGAGGGGTCAAAGACAGGGTGAGTGGAGACTGCAAGCCAGGAGGGCCAGGTGGGAAAGCCCTCAGGCTGCACCTGGAGGGGGTGAGTCAGTCACTGCAGGCCTCTGGCCCTAGGCAGTTGCAGTCCCTGGTTCCTGCTGTGGGGACCTGAAGTTGACTCACAGTGGAAGTGTGACTGCTGCCCTGAGGCCTGGCAGAGCAAGTGCGGCCAGCATCCTTCTTCCTCCTCCTCCTAGGTACCAAGGCAAAGAAGGCTGGGCCCCCGCCTCGTACCTGAAGAAGAGTAGTGGGGAACCCCTACCCCCGAAGCTTGGCCTCGGCTCACCCTCCCACTCCGGGGCCCTGGATCTAGATGGTGTTTCCAGGCAACAGAATGCAGTGGGCAGGGAGAAAGAGCTGCTCAACAACCAGAGAGATGGCCGGTTCGAAGGCCGCCTAGGGCCCGACGGGGACTCCAAGCAGAGTGAGTGACTCTCACACCCCCAAAAGCTCCTGGGGACTACTGTGGACCAGGTTACATGCTCATGTCCCTTATCTGCGAAGTGTCCCTGCTCTCCCCTCTCACCCACCGCCGCTCCCTTCCCCACCAACCCTCAGTTAGAAAACAAGGACTCAGAAAACCCTGGAATGTGTTCCTGATCATTCAGCTAGCAAATTGTAGGATCTGAGTCAAGAGGCATTGCTCTGCTGTCCTTGGTCATGGTTCTCCACCATATCCTGATGCTCACACCACTACTAGGTGTCAACCCTCTTCTAACTAGTCTCATTGGCCCCTCCTAGCCACCCGTAAAGGACTTACCTGGTTTTATTCTACAGAATTTAGGAATCAGAAAGAGGAGGTGACATGTCCCAGAACACCAACCAGTAAATGCTGGGACTGGGATTTGAACCCAGCGAAGTAGGACCTATGCCTTCTCCATTTCTGAGTCTGGAGAGGAAGAGCCTAGCCCAGCATGAGTACACTACTATAGCATGTTATTCCTCTCGCCTTGCAAAGCCTCCCAGCATACTTGGCCATTTTATGGTCCCCACACACCTGAGTGCAAGGTTCATCACTGGTATCTGGGTCGCATCCAAGACTCTGGCAGCAAGAGCCTGTCCTGGTTGTCCAAGGAAGTGGGGGTCTGTTGAGAAAGGGCTTTCTACTACACAGAGGTGTAGTGTCCCTGGCCATCTCTGCCAAGGGGCAGTGACCTTTGGAGTCCTCAGCCAAACATCATCCTCTCTGCTTAACTGCCCTGAGAAAACATGTGCACTGCAGTGTTGGCTCATGTGCCACAGCAGGGTTTCTGGCTAGCCCTGTGTTTCTGTATTCTAACATACTGGCCAACAGTGCAGGGACATTCCTGGTAACACAGAAGGACAAGTAAATGTCTACATCCTCATGTCTTTGTTGGGATATAAGTTGGTGCCAAAGCAAAGGCTCCACTAACACCCTCATTTATATACCCAGTAACAGTGGCTCAGATTATCTAGCTAATTATTTCTAGATAGGTATCTAGAGATGATTGAGCAACTCTGTGCAGCCAAGAGTTTCATTGCCAAATTTTGTTAATTCTATGTCTGACTTGCATGGCTCTCCTCCACCTGGCCCAGGATGGCTCACCCGAGAGTCCAGCCTGCAAGCCAGGAGGGCCAGGAAAGAGGGCAGGGAAAAATGAAAGGCACAACCCAAGCTACACACCTTCCACTTTCTCTCACATCCCATTGGCCAGAACTTAGTCACGTGGAAACACCTAGCTGCAAGGGAGTCTGAGAAATGGAGCCTAGATAGGTAGCTCACTGTCTTGGCTAAAATTCTGCTGTTGTTTATTTTAATAGAAACCCAGGGAAATGGATAATTTGAGGGAGTAGTACTGTGCTGTGCACCCTAAATGTCCAGCTCCCCCTTTAGGTGGACCACAGCACCCAAAGAGGCCTCCTAGAGCCCAGGGCTTTGGCCCACCGTGGAGTCCTACTTGTAATCCTGAGATCCAGAGCTAGGCTAGCCCTACTCCAGAATGAAAATCCGTGTCGTCATCAGCCCCAGGGATCAGTGTGACTGTGCATCAGGCAGTTTGCTATAGAGCACAAAACCCGCCACAGTGACACTTCTCCCATGGCTGCCATGTACCAGAAGACCCACAAACATTGTCAATGGCCATTTGTACCGCTGCCCCTTGGAGGCACACGCTAGGCTTGCTGTATACATCAGTGGAGAAAAGGGTCCATCCCCAGAGCTGAGCTGAGCTCCTTCTCCGTGCTCTTCTGAAGCCTACGCTTTGGGCCATTGCAGTGCTCCAGGAGCCTGCACCATCTCCTCTCATGCCTGCATAGAAAACAGCCAGGAAAAGGCATGGGAGGTGAGTCCCCAGGCAAACACAAGCCACTCAGGCTGTCCCCATGATCAGGGCCACAGCTGCATGTTAACTGCCCTCCCCTCCCAGGCATAGGCTATGGCTAAGTTTCTGCAGAAGGGAGCTGATCTTTCCCAGCTACTGCCACCAGGATTTTATCTGTAGACCACTGCCCAGGAATAAAATGGGATCTCATTCCTTTGCAGGATCACCAAAGATGAGGCAGAGACCTCCTCCTCGTCGGGACATGACTATTGTAAGTGCACTCCTGCTGCTGGACGGGGGTAGGGAGTGTTGATTGCAACCTGTCGGGGATGCCCATGGCCACTCACACACCCCTGCTCTTTCTTGGGGTACTCTCTTTCCTGTCCACACAACAATGGATGAGGCCGCTGGTCCCCTGAATGGGTGGAAGAAATGAGAACGAGAAGATCGAGCTACTTGCCCAGGTCCCAACATGTCTTTGTGACAGTCAGGCCTTGGGCCCTGCCCGCTGATCCCACCTGTCACTGTCTTACATGGCTCTTGTCAGATCAGACAGCGGGTGGTCCAAGCTTCAGTGGGAGGTGGACGCAGCTTGTGATGTCATTCCAGCATTCTGCTTTTATCCTCCTGGGTGAAATCTGTGAGGCTGCCTTTTTACCCCATGCCAGGGAGGACCCCTAACCCCAAAATACAGAAGTTGTTAAATGTGAAACTTTTTGAGCAATCACATGATGCCACCGATGGAAAATTTCATACCATGAAACTTCGTTGCTTGCATAAAATGATTTAAAATACCCCATAAAATGATTCCCAGTCTGTGTGTGTAAGGTGTGCATGAATGACAAATTAATTGCATTTTTAGACTTAGATACTCTCCCAAAGATGTCCCATTGTATAGGTTCAAACATTTAAAAAGCTGAAAAAAAAAAAAAAAAGAAAAACCAAGTCTAAAATGCAAATAGTTCCAGGCATTTCAGTGAAGAGATGCCCAACTTCTGCTTGGGAAAATTAGCCTTTTTCTAAGTTTTCTGCTTATTGAGCACCTACTGTATTCCAGTGTACTTGCTGATTTTCTACATTAGCTGACTAGTACTTACAGCAGCTCCAAAATGTAGATAATGATGTGTTTATTCCACAAGGATTCAAACTTGAGGCTCCAGAAGGGGAGCACTTTGCCCAGTTTTGCCCCCATCATCAGTATTTCCAACCCAGATGTTCTTTCCACAGTCCTCACCAGCTCCCATGTGGAGAACATCACCTTGCCCCAAATAGTCATGGCATGTTTTTTCTGGTCACCCTCAAGTTGAAGGGCCCGCAGGATCTCATCAGGAGATGCCCATCTGAGTGGCCCTCCAATTGGTTTCTTAAAATGGGACCAGGCATACCAGGGTCTCTACTCAAGGGTGACTGTGTGCCCCTGGCCCGCTTCAGTGTCAGGTTCAGGCAGTCCATCACAGCCAGTCCTGTGTTTAATCATACTAGCCTCGCGGCCTCCATCTGCCCAAACCGCCCATCCCGCCGCAAGTGGAAGAGGAGTACTACACCATCGCCGAGTTCCAGACCACCATCCCCGACGGCATCAGCTTCCAGGCGGGCCTGAAGGTCGAGGTGAGTGGGCCTGCTCTCCCACTCCACTTGGGATCGCCTCCCGCAGCTTTCCCCTCTCAGGAGCCCAGCTGCTTTGGGAATCCCTGGCTCATTAGCACCATTGCCTCTTTCCCCTTGGCCTCAGAAAAACACTGGTGGATTCCCCAGCTCTCAAGATTGGGCTGCTTTTATTCCCACCTCCTTGTTACCCCCACCCCACTTCTGCTTTCCTTCCCATTCCCTCTGCTTGTCTGCCGAGTTGCCTGTGTAAAGGCCAACATCAAGCTTGCATTTCTCTTCTCTCCTTGGGTTTAGAGCCGGAAGGTGTTCCTGAGCTCCCAAAAAAGAATCTTGTAAGTCTTGGGATAGCAACACAGACCAGGAATTGGAATCCTTAGGAGCTGGCTATTTCTAAGATCCCTGCCTCCACCTCTGCCCATCTGCCAGCACTTCACGATGTCTTTGCCAGTTACCTTTGCAGCAGGTGCTTCCTTCCTTAGCTGATGTCCCAAAGTGGTCCTTTGTTTAGCAGTTGGTTACATAGGTGTGTAGGTTGCTGGAGGGTGAGTGGGTGTTTTGTAGTTTGTTCCCTCCATTAGAACATAAACTCTTCAAAATCAGGAACTGTATCCATTGATAGCAGTTTCCTAGCTTATGGCAGATTTTCAATAAGCTTTTTTTTTTTTTTTTAATTTCTTTATTTGGAAGCCTGGTGCGGTAGCTTAGTGGCTAAAGTCCTCATCTTGCACACACCGGCGTCTGTACGGGTGCTGGTTCTGATCCCGGCAGCCCCACTTCTCATCCAGCTTCCTGCTTGTAGCCTGGGAAAGCAGTTGAGGACGGCCCAAAACCTTGGGACCCTGCACCTATGTGGGAGACCTAGAAGAAGCTCCTGGCTCATGGCTTCGGATTGGCTCAGCTCCAGCTGTTGTGGCCACTTGGGGAATGAATCAGTGGACGGATGATCTTCCTCTCTGTCTTTCCTTTTCTCTGTATCTTTGCCTTTCCAATAAAAATAAATAAATCTTTTTATCAAAAAAGAGATTTATTTTCATATGAAAGGCAGATTACAGAGAGAGAATCTTCCATTCACTGGTCACTCCCCAGTGGCCACAAAGGCCAGTGCTGGGTTTGTCCAAAGCCAAGAGCCAGCATCTTCTTCCAGATCTCCCACATAGGTGCACCAACCAACCCAAGGACCTGGCCTGTCCTTTGCTGCCTTCCCAGGCCACCAACAGGGAGCTGGGTTGGAGGTGGACCCAAACAAATGCCCATATAGGATGCCAGCACTGCAAGTGGAAGCTTAGCTTGCTATACTCTGGCACCAGCTTCAGCATTTTTTTAAATTGATAAACTCATCCAGCTGGGTCATGAGCCTCTGAAGACAGGGAGCAGCTATTAAGAGTAGCAAAAAAAACTCCCATGGTGTGTACCGGCTGTGCCTGGCCTCTGGCCATCATTCTTACCTCAGTACAAAGTTGTTCACCTTTGTGGAACTCCCCTGGCTTAAAGGTAGATGTGTGTGTGGCTTGTATGTAATTAAAATGAGAAGCAGCAGCCAAATAGGCCACAGTTAGCACTTGGTCCATCCGTGAATGCCCAAAGAACAGAAGTGATTTGACTCACAGTGCTGAGAAGTCCTAGAGCCTCATGTCAGCGTCTGGCGCTGGCCTGCTGCTGCATCGTCACCTGGCAGAGGGCATCCCACAGCGCTACAGGCCCAGCTGCTAGCTCCCAAGCCAGGAGAGCTGCCAGGGAGGCCCGAACCTCATGCCCGCAACTAATCCTAAAGGCACATGAAGCCGGGCATGAAGTTCCCAACATATGAACTTGGTGGGGGCATATCCGGAACCCATCCCACACTGACTAAGTGCTGGGCCTGGTACTGAGCACTGGTAGCTTGCCCAGAATTGTTGCATCTTGAGCTGGGAGCTCCTGTTATTTTTCCCATTGGTCCAGCAGGCTCTTCCCATCTCACTCTGCCTGGAACCCCCGTCCCTTTGCCTGGCTGCTGATCATCTACCCTCCCTCTCAGACAAGGCACTCAAGGCCTTTATTTTTTTTTTTTAACTGAATTTAACATCTCCAACTCTAACTCACCCTTCACCTCCCTCCTACTCCTCCAAGAAACCAGTTCACATTGGTTTCCTTCCATATCCACCCTGCATTACCATCTAGGAGACTACTTTCCAAGGTTCTTAAGTAAGTTCATGGTCAATATTATTGTGAAAAAAATGATGCATGGATAAGACATATTTATTTTTATTGAAAAGGCAGAGTTACAGAGAGGAGAGTCAGAGGTAAATTTTCCCTCCACTGGTTCACTCTTAAAATGGTTGCAGCAGCCGGAGCTGAGCCGATCTGAAACCAGGAGCTTCTTCTGGGTCTCCCACGCGGGTGCAGGGGCCCAAAGTCTTGGGCCAGCCCTGGTGCTTTCCCAGGCCATCAGCATGGAACTGAATCAGAAGTATAACAGCTGGAACTCAAACTAGTGCCTATATGGGATGCCAGCACCACAGGTGGAGGCTTAGCCAACTATGCTATTACTCCAGCACTCCCCCCACACACACACTTTTTTTTTTTTAAGATATAATTATTTATTTGGAGAATTACAGAGAGCCAGGTGGGAAAGAGAGATTTTGCATCTGCTGGTTCACTCCCTAAATGGCTGCAATGACCAGGGTAGGGCCAGGTTAAAGCTCAGAGCCAGGAGCTTTTCCAGGTCTGCGACGTTGAGTACAAGGGCTCAAGCTGTCATGCCATCTTCCATTGCCTTCCCAGGCCATTAACAGGGAGCTGCATTGAAAGTGGAGTAGCTGGAACACAAACTGGCACTTCTATGGGATGCCAGTGTAGCGGACATCCAATTAACCGGCTGAACCACAACACCAGTGCCATTCCCACTTCTTAACCACATGAAGCTTAGTGTCTGCAAGGAGGGTTTCAGTGTCGAATTGCAAGTTTAAAGTAATCTTCCCAGAGTAGGTGTTTAGGCTAGTGGTTCAGACACTGAATTTAACCCATGCAGTTTTCATTTTCAACAGCGTTTCTTGATTCTTTTTCCCAGTCACCTATTCTTGTTTCATATATCTGCCATGAGTGTGATGCCCTTCTTTGTCTCTGCAAGGATGTTAACTAGTTTTTACTTAAGGTCTTGTGCCTATTGCTCGTGATCTCTTTCCTCCTTTGTGAGTTCTTTGTAGTGATTGCCTGTCTTCTCGTGGTATTAGTTGTTGTGCTGTGTACAAAGATTCGGGCAGTCAAGTAGCCCCGCAGTCGGAGTCTGTGAGGAGACTTCCAAAAGGTCATGGAGAATGAAATTCAAATATGAATTTATTTTAGTGCAAAAAAAAATTATATAAGCATATTTTTTTAATAATATACATTGTTCATGAGCTTTTTGAGGATCCCCTCATATACAAGGAGCTGGTCTGCTTCTATGAATTCCAGTACCAGCTCAGGGGCTGTGGCGCCAGCTGCTAAGCTAAACCTCTGATCCAAGCCTTCGCACTCACTGTTTTTCCTTGTAAACATTCTCATTTCCTTACTGGCCCTTAAGAACAAGACAAAGGGTCCAGAGAAGGGTTAACCAGCCCCTTGCTTCTGTCTAGTGTAGAGTGGGGCACCCCAGGCTAATGAAACCAGAAGCAGCTTTCCTAATCTTTGGGTGCATCACTCGCTGCTTCACTCTTTCCTGAAACCAGAAGTCCAGCATGCACGTTATAAAGGCTTTCTCTCCCAGAGTGCTGAAAACATTATGGATTTTTTTTTTCTCCTTGAAAACAATGAGTTTCCAGCCCTTTCTGCAAACACATCATTGTCAGAGCATGCTGGCCAGCTGAACACTTACCAGTCAACACCAAAGTCACTCCCTAGCTCAGAAGGTCCAGAAGTGAACCGGGTACCCTTTAGCATGCCATCCTCCAGCACTGGAGACCAGAGCTTGCCACTGGGCTTTGTGGACCCCTTCCATTTTCTGGAGGTTTTACAGTCTGTCTGTCTCTCTCTCTCTCTCTCTCTCTCTCTCTCTCTCCCACCCCCATCTCAACCACAACCATCCCTCCTCATTTGCTTCTGCCCTTGGTCTTGTTTCTGCTTGAGCTGAGGCAGTGAAAAGCTCAGCCAACATTCTTCTCCAGGAAGCTCAAATGTTTCCCATCCTCAAGGCTGTTGTGCTTTAACCTTTGATGACATCAGCACAGGCTCTGCCAATGATCCCTGGATGTCGCTGACATTTTTGGCTTAATCAGCTGTTCTTCTCTTCTAATAAATTCCATATGCTCTGTTTTCCTCTTTGCTTGTGCCTCTTGATTCTTCTCAACATTGTCTTAGCCTTCGGAATGGCAGTGGAGTCACGGCATTCTAGAACTACCGTAGTTCCTCCTCCAGACCGTCTTCAAGACTCATGCTGATGATGATGACGGTGTAGGAGCCCACTCTGTGCCAGGGTCCTCATCTACTCATCTTATGTACTTAGCTAGCTAATCTTCCTGCTGATGTGCCTGGGAAACAGTGGACGATGACCCAAGTACTTGGGTCCCTGCGATGTGTGAGACCAGGATGGAGTTCCTGGCTCCTGACTTCACCTTGCCTGAGCCCCTGGGGGAGCAAGCCAGCGGATGGAATCTACCTCCCTGTCTCCGTATTTTCACTTGCCTTTCAAATAAATAAAATGAATCCTTCAGTCCTGTGTCAGCAGCATCCCATATGGGTGTCAGTTTGTGTCCCAGCTGCTCCACTTTGGATCCAGCTCACTTCTGATGGCAGTGCTTGTACCTCTGCCACCACATAGGAGACTCAGGGAAGCAGGCTTTGGCCTGGCTCAGCCCTAGCTGTTGACAGTCAATCTAGAATGAACCAGTAGATGAAAGAGTTTCTCTCTCTCCGACTTTCAAATAGACAAACATTTACAGATAAATAAGTAAAAAGTTAAAAGATGAGTTTATTTTGGTGCAGAACTTTGAAATTTGTGCCTATCAGGGAAGATCCTCAAATAGCTAGTGCATGGATTTCAGAAAGCTTTTGCACCAAAATAAAATTACCTTTGAGTTTCCTTTTCCATGCACTTTTTCAAGTCCACTCATCTGCGTCTTTTGCTGGGTGCTTCTTTAAACTAACAGCCATGCTGCTGCCCTGAACCCCTTGGGTTGACCTACAGTTATACGCAGGCCCAACAGAAGGAAGCAGACCACGGTGGTGGGAGGGGCTGGCTGCGAGTCATGAGGTGAGTGCCTGCCAAGGCACCATCCTTGTGGCATCTCTGCTTGGTAGATTACACTGCAGTGACCCAGAGAAAGGACTTGTTCAAGATTGGCCCTCCTCTTCCATGCTCACTTTCTCTACTTGACCTTTTCTCTTCCATGAACTACCTGTTCTCAAGTCCTCATCTCGGGGATGGCTTCTGAGGGGATCCAGGGTGGGGCAAGGCCCTGCACCCCACGACAGATGACCCTGGCACATGGGAGCATCTCTGTGGCTGGCAGCTTCTAGAGCTTGGAGTATAGGTGGGCTCTCCCACAGCCTGGAATGCTGTGGTCTCGGCACCAGACCCCCCTGAGTGTTTCACCATGTCATGACTTCCAGGTGATTGAGAAAAACCTGAGCGGCTGGTGGTACATTCAGATTGAGGATAAAGAAGGCTGGGCCCCTGCCACTTTCATTGACAAGTACAAGAAGACCAGCAATGCCTCGAGACCCAACTTTCTGGCTCCCCTGCCCCATGAGGTGGCCCAGCTCCGGCTCGGGGATGTGGCTGCCGTGGAGAATAATGCAGGAGGTGACGCCGTGGGGCCCTCGCGGCCCCTGCCGGAGGCACCACACGGTGCCATGGACTTTGGAATGCCCTGGTCCAAGGACTGGAAGGGCGGGAAGGACATCCTGCGGAAAGCATCTTCAGACGCGTCTGCGTCAGCGGGCTACGAAGAAATCTCCGACCCAGATCTGGAGGAGAAACCCAGCCTCCCTCCTCGCAAGGAGTCCATCATTAAGTCAGAAGGAGAGCTGCTGGAACGCGAGCGGCAGAGGCTGGAGCAGCTCCGGGGCTCTTCACCCAAGCCCCCGGGTGTGATCCTGCCCGTCATACCTGCCAAGCACACACCTCCAACCCGGGACAGCAGGCGGCCGGAGCCCCGACCCGAGAAAGGCAAGCTGTTCCAGCTGAAGAACGACATGGGGCTGGAGTGCGGCCACAAGGTGCTAGCCAAAGAGGTGAAGAAGCCCAACCTCCGGCCTGTGTCCAAGTCCAAAGCCGAGCCACCACCCGACGAGAAGCCAGAAGCCGCGACCCAGAACCCCTTCTTGAAGTCCAGACCTCAGGTTAGGCCCAAACCGGCTCCCTCCCCCAAGACGGAGCCACCTCAGGGTGAAGACCAAGTGGACATCTGTAACCTCAGGAGTAAGCTCAGGCCCGCCAAGGTCCCCGAGAAAGCCTCCGTGGACGGGGATGGTCTTCAAGATGCAGCCCTCAGCCGAAATTTCCTCCCAGGAGGTTCCCAGGACAGGCCGGGTAGACCAGAGGGACTCAACCCAAAGGAGGCAGTGTGCAGAGCTCCTCTGAGGTCAGCCAAGACCTCAGACCCCGTGCCCAAGGCTGTGCCTGTCCCGCTCCAGGAAACTCAGCAGCAGAGACCAGTGGTCCCACCCCGGAGACCTCCCCCACCCAAGAAGACCTCATCAGCCTCAGCCTCCAGGCCCCTCCCAGAGGTCAGAGGGCCACAGCGTGAAGTCCATGACGGTAGGGCTGTACCTGGCCCAGGCCGCCCCTTGCTTGTCCCTCCCAAAGCCAAACCGTTCCTCTCCAACTCCTCAGGGAGCCAGGATGACATGCGAGGAGGTCCCCGGCCAGATGCCGGCAGAGCAGGAGAAGGCAGAGAGAAAGCGCCCACCACCACTGCCTTCGCCAATGCCGACAGCTCCAGGGACTCTGTATACGTGGCTGTGGCCAACTTCGAAGGTGACGCAGACACCAGCAGCTTCCAGGAAGGGACAGTGTTCGAAGTCCGGGAGAAGAACAGCAGCGGCTGGTGGTTCTGCCAGGTCCTGAGTGGGGCGCCTTCCTGGGAAGGCTGGATCCCTTCCAACTATCTCCGCAAGAAGCCATAGGAGCCCCCTGACCTCCGTGGCTCGCTGTCTCTGCTGGTGACCTACCTATTTAATATGCCTCTTAATTTATCATTCTCCATGCAGCTTTGAAGGAAGACCCAGAGGCCTTTGGGTGCTTCGCTCCCACAGGTGCAGAGCTAGTCACTGAGACAGCAGGAGCCCAGAGGGTCCGAATCCCACCATCACAGCACCTACTGCTGTAGGCGCCCACACCCTGGTACCCACACCCTGGCTCTCTGTCTTCCACGTCAGCATCACTGCCTTATTAGCCAGTGGCAGTAGGACAGTAACTGTCCTGGGTCCCCTGGGACTAGGTGGAACCTGTCCCTGAAGATGAACTCCAGAGAAGGTCTGTTTCTAGTGGCTTGTACAAGGCACAGCAATGGGCAGACCACATGGTTCATGAAGACTTGCTCTAACTCTTGCATGGTTCCCAAATGCCTGGCACTGGACAGAACTGCATCCTGTGGAAGCCAACTCTATAGCCAGGCCCTAGGACAGTGTGCTTTTCCTGAAGCCTCAGACCCATGAGCTTCTGCGGTCCAACCAGATGCAGTTTTACCAGAAGCAGCCCTGAGGGCCACCCTGCATCCCATCCTCCAAAATGGGACCCTGGTCCTACGTCACCTTCCTACCACAAGCTCCTGTCCATGCAGGGCTTTTTAATAAGTTTCCACACCCCTGACATGGGATGTTTCACTTTTGTCTCCCTAGGCAAGAGTTGTTACAAAAATGACTCTTTGCTTAGTAGCCAGTAGGTGCCAGGCATTGGGTTCGGCACTTGGCATTCATGGTGTAACCCTCCCTTCTAATATGCCCATTTTAAAGATGAGGATACTTCAGCCCAAAGGCACACTGCTAGGAAGAAGAGGAGCGAGGATTAGAACCCAGTTATGCCAGGCTCCAGTGTCTGAGCTATTCTCCCTGAAAGAGGAAAGCAAGGAAGGATCTGGCCTGACACCAAGAGGTATCAGGTGACTCCGATGGTATAGGTGAGGGGTTACTGTTCTCAGACCTCACCATGCTCCTCCAGCCCACTGTGACGTGAGTCCCAGGCTGCCCTGGCCCTTTTGCACCTGCTTCTTCATGCCAGATGATGCCTGGGTCACTGGCAGTTGGCACAGAGCCCTGTTCCCTTTCCCTGCTCCTATGCTGGTCCCCTGGGGCATGGCACTTGCAGCCCAGAGGGCGCTGAGGTGGTCTCATGGCCAGCCCTAGTGGCTCAGGGACCAGCACTGGCTCTCCAACAAAGCAGGCATGGCAAGCAGTGACATGTACCCTACAAGACAGGGACCCCAAGGCCAGGTAAACTTCTCTCCCTTCCAGCTGTTGCCTCCTGGCCTGCGTGGTATGTGTAGAGTAGTATTCTTCCTTTATTTTTCATGCACGCTCCTTTATCTGGTTTCCCCCTGAGAGGAACCCAGGGTACTCCTTTCACTCATTTTGACAGATGGGGTTAACTGAGGCAGGAAGAAGTGCTGCATGGTCATTGCAGAACTTGCCAGAAACTGCAGGTGCTAGCTTTCAGCCCAGAGCTCTCCCCCTGTGAAATAGGCTGCATGGGGGAAGGGAAGGGTTAGGACAAAAGCCCCCTCCCTCTCCTACTCGGCGGCCCCTCCCAGGGATCCGCAGCTAACGTCCTTGTGACCACAAAGCCAGCCTTCCAGGGAAATGTTGTCATCCACTGCAATGCCAAAGATTTCTGTGCACACAGCCTCTCCTGTTCCCCCACGCCCCGGCGCCTGACACATAGCCCTGACCGCTTCTGCCATCTCCAGGAGCTCCTTGCAGCCCCTTGCCTCAACGGCCTCTCAGCTCCCACCCCAGAGACTCCCCCTGTCAGGGGCTCCTGTCCCTTCCTGGTTCCCGGTGCTCAGGCCTTGGGGGAGGTGCTGGGAGAAGGTCTCCCAGAGCTCTGCCCGCCTCCACTCCAGTCCAGCCCTGTCAATAGCATAGCTTTCTTGAGTTTTTGATGGACTTGGGTTCCTGAGTTTTTGACGTATGCAGAGTTGTCAGGTGGCATTTGATCACCTTTCAAAGGCAAAACTCAATATGGCTTTGGCCGATTTGCTTTCGGCTTTCAAGTGTTTTGTGAGCACATCCCTTGCTCGGTGCTAAGACACACCAGGGTGCGGGTGTGGCTTCATCCCTGGCTGTGACCTCGGTCAGTTGACTCCCAAGGCAGAGTGTGTCCTTTACCTCGCTCCCTCTTTCCCAAGGGCCAGCTGGGTGGAAGCTGACTGGTTCTGCCTCCCTAGGAGCAGAATATTTTCCTGCCAAGAATTGGCAGGCAGGGGTGGGTGGGTATTGTTATTTTACCCTTGGATTAACACTCTGCTGACGTGAGCTGTAGGTACTGAAGCCACATTCCTCCTTTCTCTCCTTGGGTCACGTCTGTGGCCACAGGATTTCAGCTGCCATGATGGACACTTCCCCAGCCATTTGGACTAGGTGATCTTGACAGCTGGCCATGTTCCTGCTGTCCCTGCCTGGGGACTTACGTACCTGCCAGCCCAGCTGCAGTCCCTAACCTGTGGGCAGTCAGTGGAACATATGATTCAGCTTTCCACCTTGGAGTTATCCAAGACCACAGCAAGAGCTTCCATGCCAAGCACCAGGCAGGTTACTGGTACTTCGGCACGCTCCCTCCTGCAATGTCAGTCCTCATAATAACCACATGAAATCGACAGGCTCAGCCCCAGGGTGTCCTAAGAAAGTTGAGTTTCAAGAGGCGGGGCACCTGCCCAGCCCCATTCCCATAGTGACCATGCCGCCGCTGGAACTCCAGAGTTTGTCTTCCTCCCCCTGTGACATTGCCTGCACCATCTGCAGTGAGATGTTCACGGGGCTTTCAGGGACACAAGTGGCCCTCCCTCTGGTTTCAGGCGTCTGTCCTCCACCCCTCAGTCAAACATTTTGGTAGATCACAATTCAAGTGTTCAGCCCAAGAGGTGACAATGGTGGGGCCTTACTTTGTCCCTTACCCTTGCTTGTGAGCGTGTGATACTACGTCATCTTCCTTCCAAGGCCAAAAACAAACAAACAAAAAGACATCTTGTGGTGCCACTTTTTTGGGGAAGGGATAGGAGGTGGAGTTGCAGAACCTAAGTTTTAGAACCACCGCTTGATAAAATGAGCTTCAGTGCAAATGTTGTACTTAGAATTTGTGCGTTTATGTGTTCCCAGGCTGAGACCTGGTAAAAAACCCCTTATCCTCCCAGGAATTGCTGGACTCTGTACCACGTTTGCAGTAAGCCTTTTAAGCCCTTTCCACAAAACCTCCTCCCTATAGCAAGCTATGAGGTCAGGTTCTTGCCTTTAAGGCTTCCCAAAGTCCACTAGGGATTTCATGAGCAGGTGGTAAGTGAAGAATACACTTCACCACATCAAAGTGTGATTACTGAGTGTCTCTAGGACTCAGGATGGACCTTGCGATGGGGAGTGGACAGGTGAGCATGTAGTCCCTGCGGGGGGTGGGAGAGGGGAGGGAACAAGGAGTTGCTCCTGAGCTCAAATCACTAATAGACTAACCTCATCAGAGATGAGATGTCTGTCTGTGGCTATGTCCAGGTCTCTAAGTACTGGGGTCAACTATCCTCTCCCCTGGAAGGCCTTGTCCTTTGCTTCTGACTGTGACAGTGGGCCCTTGCCAGCCTCAGCCCCTATGTAACCCACCCCCATCACTGGCTGTGTGGGCTCCGTTTTCAAGGCGGTTGTGTATACAGCAGACAGAGTGCCACCTTCATGGGTGTGCGGGAACCTTTTCTGCACCCAAAGCAGTTACTCCTAACATGAGCCAAGCTCTCCAGTCTAGGTTGCCCACTGCCAAGGAGGATCCCAGACAGAGCTGCCAAGTTAAGGCCAGGGGGTCAATAATCCCAGTCTACACATGAGCTACTTCGAGCTTGCTTCGTCCAGGCTGGACCATCCAGGTCTGTTGGAGTGGTGGTGTCCGGTTCCTGGTGCTCCCCTGCTGGGTGGGTTGAGCCCCTCATCATCCTCTTGCAGCATCCCACCTTCCTCCCTGCTCCTGCCCTCCACTCCAAAGTCCACCTCCGCAGCTCTTATGAGGAATGAAGGGCTCAACCTCTTCTGAACTTTAACAGGCATTCATTTTCAAATCCCCTAACGTGTAGAAGATGCCCTCGCCGGGTAAATGGCAAGAATAAGTGATGCTCCGACACCTGAGCTGGCTGCATTTTTACCCCGACTGGATGTTGATGTCTTTGTGTTCATGTCATTAATAGACGCACCCTGTCACAGGGTGGTGATGAACCTTAGCCACCACCCATGTACCCTGCTTCAGGCACCCACCAAGGAACTAGTCCATGTCTCACATCTCTCCAGAAACAGTAGGCTCTTGGCAGGCGGCCTGTTGGCTCAGAGTGATGCCAGAGATCCCTGGATACTCAGTACGTCTCATGCGCTGCCGGCAGACTGACCGGCTCTGCTGGTGGTTTTTGTTTGCTTTCAACACATAGAAAAATACCTGAGTTTATGTACTGTGAGGGGGAGGGTGTCAGCAATTAGCTGTAGCATATATAGGCTTATGCATACTTTATCATTAGACTTTTCTTTCTTTTTTTTTTAATAAAAAAAAAGTGCTTGACTGGTTTCAAGCTTCATTGTAAAGATGGAGTGGCTGTGGTTTTTATTTGGCTTCAGAGAGGATGTATTGCTTTGTGACCCCGGGGTCTTTGGAATCATGGAAGGGAAACTGCAAGCTTCGTTTGGGCATTGCCCCCAAAATATGGCTAAGTCATCTCAGGACCCAGTGCACCTTTGCTCCCTAAAACACTCAGAAACCCAGGGAAGTTCCCCTTTTTTGGGCGGGTATCCCTCATGTTCTTACACACAGCTACCTTTGCGCAGCTAAGTCGTCTTTTCGGGATAAATTTGCCACAATAAGCCAAGGTACCAGATACAGTGAAATACTTAGAAAGTCCTTTTATTGTAGCAGGGTAGAGATGGGAGGGAGACAGAAGGGGAACGTCTCCTGCCATGGTGACAGGAGGGGGCTGCAAGGGAAGGGAAGGCGGGGCAAGACAAAGAACATAGGGGTAGGGAGTAACACACCAACGGAAGAGACGGAGGGAGGAGGGTGCCTGTTTCGTGGCAGGAGAAGGCGTCATGGGGCTTGGAGGGGTTGGTGGGTTGGATGGTCAGGTTTGGCATCATGAGGTTACAGCAGATTGGTGGGCAACCAAAATGGTACGAAATTTGTGAGCCATGGGAAAGGGAAAGCAAATATCTAAAATAGTACTGAGTTCAAAATGGCGGGGGCCTTCATGGCCAGTGTTCAAGTTACTCCTCACACCCTGTATCGTCTTAGCCCTGTGCCTACAGGTGGGTCACTGCACGTGTCCTGTTTGTTGATGGACACTCAAGTATTAGGGACTCTACAAAATCACCTGTTCACAGGAGGTGGAGGACATTGATTGAGCCAAGTCAAAGCCAACCTACCATGGAGCCTTCACTTTCTTGGGGAGAAACAGGAAGCCAGCAGGGTATCCCAACAGAAGGTAAGCAGATGGGAAATTTACAACCAACATTCATTCTTCCTTGGAGTCAACATCTCCAGGAATATGACAGAGGAATTTCAGAAAGTCCA